CATTTGCTGCAATACAACTTCAAAATCACCAACAGATTATTTTTCAAAGTATATATGGAAATCAGACAAACACTTGCTGTTTGTCTGATATCCAATTAAAAACTTTATTATAACACTGTCCGCCTCTGCAGATGGTTTAGCTAGAGGGTTAGTCTCAGGTCTTTTGGGGCCAAGTCGAGTTCCTGATCTCTAAAAATAGAAACTTAATTCTGACTTGAGTCCGAAAGTCCCCATCTCTGCTCCCACTCTCATCCATTCCTTTGATTATTATGGTCGAATGCACTTGTGTGTGTCAATTGTAGCAGCATTTACTAGCTATGAAGGTTACCGTGGCGACTCTCTCGGCTCTGAAGCGAATCAAACGACCACGATCCACGACTCAAAGTTGTGCAATTTTACAACAGTCTGCAACAGTCAGCGACGAATAGTGCTGAGGTCTCAAGCTTTTATGTGTTTAGTGTGTTTAGTGTGTGTGTGTGAGAGGAAGAGGACTCAGCTCGCGGCGTCGTGTCCTTGTCAAAGCCATTTCACACAAGTCTCACCCCCCCCTCATCTCGATCGGGCTCTGAGGAGACCGCGGGGCCCTCAAACAGTTCAGCGAAAAATCAGCAGCGTTTAGTCCATTACATTTACACACACACACACACACACACACACACACACACACACACACACACACACACACACACACACACACATACACACACGATCACGCTTTGTGCTTAGCTAAAGGAATACACAGGAAACAGGCAGTGACAGACACAGCTAACTCTGGGAAATACTTGCACGCCTGTGATATGTCTTGTTTTTCGCCACAAACTCGTCTTCAAACTTGTTTTTCTGACGGATCCTAAGACTCGACCGTATCCAAAAAACTTTTCCACATTGTGAAAGAATATTCTCGCCTCTGAATCAGTCCCATGCCTCCTGTCACATTGCTCCGTGTTAGATAGTAGCGGAACCCTAACCCTAAACCTAACCGACCTCCACCACCAGATGGGGCTGTTTCACTGATGTGGTTATTCCATTATACATGATTTTCTCTGTATTTTCTAACTAGTTTGGAAAGGGTTTGTTTTTTATCTATCTGATGTAAGACTGGAGATGATGCAGCAGTGGTAACTGAGGTTGAGGGGGTGGGTATGGGGTCTGTATGAGGGTGGGTATGAGGGTCTGTATGAGGGTCTGTATGAGGGTGGGTATGAGGGTCTGTATGAGGGTCTGTATAAGGGTGGGTATGAGGGTGGGTATGAGGGTCTGTATGAGGGTCTGTATGAGGGTGGGTATGAGGGTGGGTATGAGGGTCTGTATGAGGGTCTGTATGAGGGTGGGTATGAGGGTCTGTATGAGGGTCAGTATAAGGGTGGGTATGAGGGTGGGTATGAGGGTCTGTATGAGGGTCTGTATGAGGGTGGGTATGAGGGTGGGTATGAGGGTCTGTATGAGGGTCTGTATGAGGGTGGGTATGAGGGTGGGTATGAGGGTCTGTATGAGGGTCTGTATGAGGGTCTGTATGAGGGTGGGTATGAGGGTCTGTATGAGGGTCTGTATAAGGGTGGGTATGAGGGTCTGTATGAGGGTGGGTATGAGGGTCTGTATGAGGGTCTGTATAAGGGTGGGTATGAGGGTCTGTATGAGGGTCTGTATGAGGGTGGGTATGAGGGTGGGTATGAGGGTGGGTATGAGGGTCTGTATGAGGGTGGGTATGAGGGTCTGTATGAGGGTGGGTATGAGGGTGGGTATGAGGGTCTGTATGAGGGTCTGTATGAGGGTCTGTATGAGGGTGGGTATGAGGGTCTGTATGAGGGTGGGTATGAGGGTGGGTATGAGGGTGGGTATGAGGGTCTGTATGAGGGTGGGTATGAGGGTCTGTATGAGGGTGGGTATGATGATGGGGATGAGGGTGGGTATGAGGGTCTGTATGAGGGTCTGTATGAGGGTCTGTATGAGGGTCTGTATGAGGGTGGGTATGAGGGTCTGTATGAGGGTCTGTATAAGGGTGGGTATGAGGGTCTGTATGAGGGTGGGTATGAGGGTCTGTATGAGGGTGGGTATGAGGGTCTGTATGAGGGTGGGTATGAGGGTCTGTATGAGGGTGGGTATGAGGGTCTGTATGAGGGTGGGTATGAGGGTCTGTATGAGGGTGGGTATGAGGGTCTGTATGAGGGTCTGTATAAGGGTGGGTATGAGGGTGGGTATGAGGGTCTGTATAAGGGTGGGTATGAGGGTGGGTATGAGGGTCTGTATGAGGGTCTGTATGAGGGTGGGTATGAGGGTCTGTATGAGGGTGGGTATGAGGGTCTGTATGAGGGTGGGTATGAGGGTGGGTATGAGGGTCTGTATGAGGGTCTGTATGAGGGTCTGTATGAGGGTCTGTATGAGGGTCTGTATGAGGGTGGGTATGAGGGTCTGTATGAGGGTGGGTATGATGATGGGGATGAGGGTGGGTATGAGGGTGGGTATGAGGGTCTGTATGAGGGTGGGTATGAGGGTCTGTATGAGGGTGGGTATGAGGGTCTGTATGAGGGTCTGTATGAGGGTCTGTATGAGGGTGGGTATGAGGGTCTGTATGAGGGTGGGTATGATGATGGGGATGAGGGTGGGTATGAGGGTGGGTATGAGGGTCTGTATGAGGGTCTGTATGAGGGTCTGTATGAGGGTCTGTATGAGGGTCTGTATGAGGGTGGGTATGATGATGGGGATGAGGGTGGGTATGAGGGTCTGTATGAGGGTCTGTATGAGGGTCTGTATGAGGGTGGGTATGAGGGTCTGTATGAGGGTGGGTATGAGGGTCTGTATGAGGGTGGGTATGATGATGGGGATGAGGGTGGGTATGAGGGTGGGTATGAGGGTCTGTATGAGGGTCTGTATGAGGGTCTGTATGAGGGTGGGTATGAGGGTCTGTATGAGGGTCCTAATGAGGGTGGGTATGAGGGTCTGTATGAGGGTGGGTATAAGGGTGGGTATGAGGGTCTGTATGAGGGTCTGTATGAGGGTGGGTATGAGGGTGGGTATGAGGGTCTGTATGAGGGTCTGTATGAGGGTCTGTATGAGGGTGGGTATGAGGGTCTGTATGAGGGTCTGTATGAGGGTCTGTATGAGGGTGGGTATGAGGGTCTGTATGAGGGTCCTAATGAGGGTGGGTATGAGGGTCTGTATGAGGGTCCTAATGAGGGTGGGTATGAGGGTCTGTATGAGGGTGGGTATAAGGGTGGGTATGAGGGTCTGTATGAGGGTCTGTATGAGGGTGGGTATGAGGGTGGGTATGAGGGTCTGTATGAGGGTCTGTATGAGGGTCTGTATGAGGGTCTGTATGAGGGTGGGTATGAGGGTCTGTATGAGGGTCTGTATGAGGGTCTGTATGAGGGTGGGTATAAGGGTGGGTATAAGGGTGGGTATGAGGGTGGGTATGAGGGTGGGTATGAGGGTGGGTATAAGGGTGGGTATGAGGGTGGGTATGAGGGTCTGTATGAGGGTCTGTATGAGGGTCTGTATGAGGGTGGGTATAAGGGTGGGTATAAGGGTGGGTATAAGGGTGGGTATAAGGGTGGGTATGAGGGTGGGTATGAACTTGGGTTTTAGGGTGGATGGTCCTCTGCATTTGACCCATCCATCAGGTCCCACTCAGGCCTGTGTCAGGAGCCACTTCAGGTGTTGGTGTGTTTGCTTCCTTTTTTTCTGTATTCTCTCTTGTCTCTCTCTCTCTCTCTGGTCGCTCTCTGGTCTCTCTCTTTAATCTCCCTCTGGTCTCTCTCTGTGGTCGCTCTCTCTCTCTCTTTCTCGAGTCTCTCTCTCATTGGTCTCTCTCTGGTATCTTTATTTGGTATCTTTCTCTGGTCTCTCTCTGATCTCTCTATGGTCTCTCTCTGGTCTCTCTCGGGTCTCTCTCTCTCTGGTCTCTCTTTCTAGTCTATCTCTGGTCTCTCTGTTCTCTCTCTGGTCTCTCTCGCTCTCTCTCTCTCTGGTCTCTCTCTGGTTTCTCTCTGGCCTCTCTCTGGTCTCTCTGTTCTCTCTCTGGTCTCTCTCGCTCTCTCTCTCTCTGGTCTCTCTCTGGTCTCTCTCTGGTCTCTCTCTGGTCTCTCTCTGGTCTCTCTCTCTGGTCTCTCTCTGGTCTCTCTCTGGTCCCTCTCTCTGGTCTCTCTCTCTGGTCTCTCTCTGGTCTCTCTCTGGTCCCTCTCTCTGGTCTCTCTCTCTGGTCTCTCTCTGGTCTCTCTCTGGTCCCTCTCTCTGGTCTCTCTCTCTGGTCTCTCTCTCTGGTCTCTCTCTGGTTTCTCTCTGGCCTCTCTCTGGTCTCTCTGTTCTCTCTCTGGTCTCTCTCGCTCTCTCTCTCTCTGGTCTCTCTCTGGTCTCTCTCTGGTCTCTCTCTGGTCTCTCTCTGGTCTCTCTCTCTGGTCTCTCTCTGGTCTCTCTCTGGTCCCTCTCTCTGGTCTCTCTCTCTGGTCTCTCTCTGGTCTCTCTCTGGTCCCTCTCTCTGGTCTCTCTCTCTGGTCTCTCTCTGGTCTCTCTCTGGTCTCTCTCTGGTCCCTCTCTCTGGTCTCTCTCTCTGGTCTCTCTCTGGTCTCTCTCTGGTCTCTCTCTCTGGTCTCTCTCTGGTCTCTCTCTGGTCTCTCTCTGGTCCCTCTCTCTGGTCTCTCTCTCTGGTCTCTCTCTGGTCACTCTCTCTGGTCCCTCTCTGCTCTCTCTCTGATACTGATGCTATAACTAATGATAACATCAGGGTCAACGTCTATTTCCTGTCATTTCAACATATATTTTCAGCTAAATCTTTGACCTAAAGTCTTTTGACGTGATCCCAAATAGGCCGAGGCGAAAAGGCCGGTATAGGTGGGAAGTGAAAACGAAGATTCCTGAAGCCTCAAACAGCCCAGCAATGGTTTTTCTGGATGATATACACGTGCCCTTTAACAGATTTCGCTGCGCTGGTTTGTCCTCATGGTACTTCTCTGTGTCCCTTTCACCGGTCGCTCCTTACGCTCGCTCGTCGCGCCCTCGGGGAACATTATTGGCTCGGGACCTTCTCTGTCAAACTCCGAGGCGTGAAACCGGAACCTCGGCCGATTCAGCAAGTCTTTGGACACACACACACGCGCGCACATACACACACACACACACACACGCGCACATAGACACACACACACACACACACAAAAGTCTTCTCCTTTGCCAAATTTAGCCTCTTCGCAGTTCCACCTTGGTTCGTCCCCGTGCACCTCGGACCCTCCCCCTCCTCCCCCCCCCCCCCCCCCCCCCCCCCCCCCCTTCCTCCCCCTTTCTTCTCCTTCTGTCCTTTGTCAACACCCGTCCTCTGTCCTTTGATCACTTACACGGACTTGAAGGAGACAAATTATGTAAAAACTGTCTTTTATGATCTTTTTTTGTATCTTGCGCCATTGTTCCCTCATCAAAAGCAGACGGGGGTCGTTTGTTGCCTCATCCACGCAGATATCAAGAACTTTACCCCCACCCGTTCTGCAGAAATGCTCTGTTCTCAAACTCAGTGTGACGCCATGGACAGAGCTGTGCATGTATCCTGTAAATACAAGTGTGGGTCTTCATTTAGACTGCGCCATGTTGGATTCAAATGTAAATACAGGATTATCCAACAACTAATAGGAGACAGCAGTGTTTCATTCTAGCCATCTCTAGGTTCTCTCTGGTTCCTCTCTGGTCTTTCTCTGGTCTCTCTCTCTGGTCTCTCTCTGGTCTTTCTCTGGTCTCTCCCTGGTCTCTCTCCCTAGTCCCTCTGCTCTCTCTCTCTCTCTGATGTCCCTCTGGTCTCTCTGGTCTCTCTCTGGTCTCTCTCTCCCTGGTCTCTCTCTCCCTGGTCTCTCTCTCTCTGGTCTCTCCCTGGTCTCTCTCTCTCTCTCTCTCTGTTCACTCTCTCTCTGGTCTCTCTCTCTCTGGTCTCTCTCTCCCTGGTCTCTCTCTCTCTGGTCTCTCCCTGGTCTCTCTCTCTCTGATCTCTCTCTGGTCTCTCTCTCTCTGGTCTCTCCCTAGTCTCTCTCTCTCCCTGGTCTCTCTCTCTCTGGTCTCTCTCTAGTCTCTCTCTCTCTGGTCTCTCCCTGGTCTCTCTCTCTCCCTGGTCTCTCTCTGGTCTCTCTCTCTCTCTGGTCTCTCTCTCCCTGGTCTCTCTCTCTCTGGTCTCTCTCTCCCTGGTCTCTCTCTCTCTGGTCTCTCCCTGGTCTCTCTCTGGTCTTTGGCACAGAGGCTGAGGATGAAAGGATAAAAATAGCATGTCGTGGACTCATTTTCTTCCCAACATTTATCAATAAATGAATAAATAAACTCAGGTCCCCCAGCTTTAAATGTAGCTCTAAAAACAGCGGCACAGATGAAGTCATTACTTACATGTCGGAGCTTACATTATGACAGAACAAAGAGAAACTGGTATTTGGAAACCCTCTCTGGTGTGTCGATGGTTTCTGTGCCTTGTGGGGAGGTGACCAGTCCAAGGTGACAGGTGACGGCGGAGAAAGAAAGAAAACTAAAAATGAACACCCGTAAAACCCTGCTCTGCTTCGAACCGAGGTCGGACTCTCTTCATTTAATTAAACTCACACTTTTGTTACTATGGATTCCAGAGACCGGTCTGGTCTCTGGACCAGAGAGTCCAGAGACCAGACCGGTTAGGGGGTCTTAGGTTTCATCGTTCAGATACACTAAGATATTGTAAAGACAATGGGGGTACTTGTCTATGTGTGGTCTCTCTCTGGTCCCTCTCTTTGGTCTCTCTCTTTGGTCTCTCTCTGGTCTCTCTCTCTGGTCTCTCTCTGGTCTCTCTCTTTGGTCTCTCTCTTTGGTCTCTCTCTTTGGTCTCTCTCTTTGGTCTCTCTCTTTGGTCTCTCTTTGGTGTCTCTCTCTGGTCTCTCTGGTCTCTCTCTGGTCTCTCTCTGGTCTCTCTCTCTGGTCTCTCTCTCTGGTCTCTCTCTGGTCTCTCTCTGGTCTCTCTGGTCTCTCTCTGCTCTCTCTCTGGTCTCTCTCTGCTCTCTCTCTGGTCTCTCTCTGCTCTCTCTCTGGTCTCTCTCTCTGCTCTCTCTCTGGTCTCTCTCTCTGGTCTCTCTCTGGTCTCTCTTTGGTCTTTCTCTCTGGTCTTTCTCTCTGGTCTCTCTCTGGTCCCTCTCTTTGGTCTCTCTCTTTGGTCTCTCTCTGGTCTCTCTCTATGGTCTCTCCCTGGTTTCTCTCTCTGGCCTCTCTCTATGGTCTCTCCCTGGTCTCTCTCTCTGGTCTCTCTGTGTGCTCTCTCTCTCTCTGGTCTCTCTCTGGCCTCTCACTGAACTCTCTCTCTCTGGTCGCTCTCCGGTCTCTCTCTGGTCTCTCTCTGGTCTCTCTCTGGTCTCGCTCTTGTCTCTCTGTGCTCTCGCTCTCTCTGGTCCCTCTGGTCTCTTTCTGGTCTCGCTCTTGTCTCTCTCTGCTCTTTGCTGCTGTTCCTGTATACATTCCTGGGCCGCCTCGCTGGTGCTGCACTTTGGATCCCAGGACCTCACTTGCTCTAGAAGTTCTGTAGACACACGTCTTAACGGTTGGCTACCCTGTCTATGATCGGTAACGACACTGGAGAAAAGCTAAAACACATCTAGACACAACCAGGGAATGGCCTTATAACCAGGACTGCAGCTACTCCAGGTGCTCCCTGGCACCGAACAGGCCACGCTCCACTCCTTCACACAATGGAAACATGAGACGCTTAAACGGTCGGCTTTTCTCTCTCTCTGCTCTCTCTCTTTGCTCTCTCTCTGCTCTCTCTCTGATCTCTCTCTGATCTCTCTGCTCTCATTGCTCTCTCTCTGCTCTCTCTGCTCTCTCTCTTTGCTCTCTCTGCTCTCTCTGCTCTCTCCCTCTGCTCTCTCTGCTCTCTCTGCTCTCTCTGCTCTCTCTCTGCTCTCTCTGCTCTCTCTCTTTGCTCTCTCTCTGCTCTCTCTCTTTTCTCTCCCTCTGCTCTCTCTGCTCTCTCTGCTCTCTCTCTGCTCTCTCTGCTCTCTCTCTGCTCTCTCTGCTCTCTCTGCTCTCTCTCTTTGCTCTCTCTCTGCTCTCTCTCTTTGCTCTCTCTCTGCTCTCTCTCTCTGCTCTCTCTCTGATCTCTCTGCTCTCTCTCTGCTCTCTCTCTACTCTCTCTGCTCTCTCTGCTCTCTCTCTGCTCTCTCTCTGCTCTCTCTCTGATCTCTCTCTGCTCTCTCTCTGCTCACTCTCTCTGCTCTCTCCCTCTGCTCTCTCTGCTCTCTCTCTGCTCTCTCTCTCTGATCTCTCTCTGCTCTCTCTGCTCTCTCTCTGCTCACTCTCTCTGCTCTCTCCCTCTGCTCTCTCTTTGCTCTCTCTCTGCTCTCTCTCTGCTCTCTCTCTGCTCTCTCTCTGCTCTCTCTGCTCTCTCTCTGCTCTCTCTCTGATCTCTCTCTGCTCTCTCTGCTCTCTCTCTGCTCACTCTCTCTGCTCTCTCCCTCTGCTCTCTCTCTGCTCTCTCTCTGCTCTCTCTCTCTGCTCTCTCTGCGCTCTCTGATCTCTCTGCTCTCTCTCTGCTCTCTCTCTGCTCTCTCTGCTCTCTCTGCTCTCTCTCTGCTCTCTCTCTGCTCTCTCTCTCTCTGCTCTCTCTGCTCTCTCTCTGCTCTCTCTCTGCTCTCTCTCTGCTCTCTCTCTGCTCTCTCTCTGCTCTCTCCCTCTGCTCTCTCTGTGCTCACTCTCTCTGCTCTCTCTGCTCTCTCCCTCTGCTCTCTCTCTGCTCTCTCTCTGCTCACTCTCTCTGCTCTCTCTCTGCTCTCTCTCTGCTCTCTCCCTCTGCTCTCTCTGCTCTCTCTGCTCTCTCTCTGCTCACTCTGCTCTCTCTCTGATCTCTCTCTGCTCTCTCTCTCTCTGCTCTCTCTCTGCTCTCTCTGCTCTCTCTCTGCTCACTCTCTCTGCTCTCTCTCTGCTCTCTCTCTGCTCTCTCTGGTCTCTCTCTGGTCTCTCTCTGGTCTCTCTCTGCTCTCTCTCTGCTCACTCTCTCTGCTCTCTCTCTGCTCTCTCTCTGCTCTCTCTGGTCTCTCTCTGGTCTCTCTCTGGTCTCTCTCTGGTCTCTCTCTGCTCTCTCTCTGCTCTCTCTGGTCTCTCTCTGCTCTCTCTCTGCTCTCTCTCTGGTCTCTCTCTGGTCTCTCTCTGCTCTCTCTCTGCTCACTCTCTCTGCTCTCTCTCTGCTCTCCCTCTGCTCTCTCTGCTCTCTCTGCTCTCTCTGCTCACTCTCTCTGCTCTCTCTCTGATCTCTCTCTGCTCTCCCTCTGCTCTCTCTCTGCTCTCTCTGCTCTCTCTCTCTGCTCTCTCTGCTCTCTCCCTCTGCTCTCTCTCTGCTCTCTCTCTCTCTGCTCTCTCTGCTCTCTCTCTGCTTTCTCTCTGCTCTCTCTTTGCTCTCTCTCTGCTCTCTCTCTCTGCTCTCTCTCTGCTCTCTCTCTCTGCTCTCTCTCTGCTCTCTTTGCTCTCTCTGCTCTCTCTCTGCTCTCTCCCTCTGCTCTCTCTGCTCTCTCTGCTCTCTCTCTGCTCTCTTTGCTCTCTCTGCTCTCTCTCTGCTCTCTCCCTCTGCTCTCTCTGCTCTCTCTGCTCTCTCTCTGCTCTCTCTGCTCTCTCTCTCTCTGCTCTCTCTGCTCTCTCTGTTCTCTCTGCTCTCTCTCTGTTCTCTCTGCTCTCTCTCTGATCTCTCTGCTCTCTCTCTGCTCTCTCTCTGCTCTCTCTCTGCTCTCTCTCTTCTCTCTCTGCTCACTCTCTCTGCTCTCTCTCTGCTCTCTCTCTGCTCTCTCTGGTCTCTCTCTGCTCTCTCTCTGGTCTCTCTCTGGTCTCTCTCTGCTCTCTCTCTGCTCTCTCTGGTCTCTCTCTGCTCTCTCTCTGCTCTCTCTCTGGTCTCTCTCTGGTCTCTCTCTGCTCTCTCTCTGCTCACTCTCTCTGCTCTCTCTCTGCTCTCCCTCTGCTCTCTCTGCTCTCTCTGCTCTCTCTGCTCACTCTCTCTGCTCTCTCTCTGATCTCTCTCTGCTCTCTCTGCTCTCTC